CACACACACACACAACATCTCCCATCAGCCCTGTACCTGGCACTGATCACCTTGCCCAGCTGAAGCCCATCAGCTGGCCTATATAAACAGTCTTATCCCTCCATCTCACCGTGAAGTCTTGTTTTACTACGGTTTGCATTTCTGAGCGTTTATCTCTGTTTTGCCTGGCTGTTGTGACCCTGTCTGTACCCCAAAAGGAACATTTAAAAGATGAAAAAGAAGAATTAGGGAGAATCAAATTATGAATAATTTGTGTGAATAATATAATAATAAATATAAATTATATTTATTATTGGGGGCTCTGATAAGCCTCATGTCCAACCGACCATTGACGCCCTCTATCGGTCATATTTTATATAACACTTAAACCAGTGCAAGATAACAATAGTTTAGGCCTATAAAAATTTTAATTAATACATCTCTAGCATTTTAAAGGGGTCATATGATGCGATTTCAAGTTTTCCTTTCTCTTTGGAGTGTAACAAGCTGTTCGTGAATAGATAAGATCCCTAAAGTTGCAAAAACTAAAGTCTCAAACCCAAAGCGATATTCTTTATAAAAGTTAAGACTTGTCCACGCCCTCCTAAAACGCCTTGTTTAAACACAACCCCCACATGTCTACGTCACTGTGTGGGGAGATTTGGATAACACCGCCCAAATGTTCACGCGAAGTAAGGAGGTGTAACTTGATTCTCGCTGGAGTATTGTTGCTGCCGCCGCCATGTCGTGGAGAAGCTGTGTGTTTCGTTATGAAAGCGAAACTACTTTGTTTGGCCTTCCAAAAGAGGACAACTAGAAATCAGTGGTTAAGTTGTATTTACAACACTGTTCCAGAACAGTTCAACCCAAATATTCAGATGTGAGCAAAGCATTTTACGGAGGACGAGGACTGTTTCCTGGGAGAGTAGCGTACAATGCCGGTGGTTCTGACAAATATGGCTGACTCACAGCCTGTAAGTACGCTTTCATATTTAAAGGATTTGCCACTGATGATTCAAACGCGAGTTTTGAGCAGTGTAGAGTAGCGCTTGTTTGTTGTTTCTCCGATCACAAATGCAGACATGGTTTTATGTTTACACGGCTCAGCGCAACGCGTAAAAAGACAGTACAAGTCATTATAATCAGTAATTATGTCCCCACTGGATGCAATAAATGCCTAGTTTATAATGGGTTTTATTGGTTTTGTCTCGTCGCGCTGGGACATAACATTTCCGTCACACGCTTGAGGTATTCGGCCAATCACAACGCACTGGATAGCTGGCCAATCAGAGCACACCTCGCTTTTCAGACCAATGAGCTTTGTAAAAATCGACGAGTTCAGAAAGGCGGGGCATAGAGGAGAAACAAAAATGTACAGTATGTTTTAAAAAAATGTGTTTTTTTTTTACCTTAAACCACATAAACACATTTCATTACACCAAATACACAAAATAATGTTCTTTTTTAGCAACGTCATATGACCCCTTTAATAAAAGCCTGCTTATGAATCCCACTTCAAGTGACGCTCCGTTAAACATAGGCACGTTATTTTTGCAGAGCGCATATTCAGTCCGTGAGTAGCCTAACCTCTCAGCTCGGATCGCAGGTGGATTTCCCTCACTATATGAGTGAGAGAGAGCGCCGTTGGCATGCCCAGTTTTGTGTGAACAAAACTGGGGGCTCTCCCTCTGTCAAATATTACAAGTGCGCGTTATGCAGTGTGGGCAGTGGGTACCGACCGGCAGAAACATAAATCTGCACCTATGGCATGGACGACGAAACAAAACCTTGTCAGAGCCGTAATGCGGCATAGAAGAGTGCAGTGTGTGTGCTTGCTGCCTGTATTTTTTCCCTGCATGTCATGTGCAGGGCTCCCGTTTTTATGATGATAGAAGAGGAAAGTTGATAATCAGTTTAATTTGTTGGTTTACACACAAAGAAAAGTGAAAGCTTTTAATAAGTCCAAGAATAAAATTATTAATTTACTTAACATGTTAAATTTGATTTACAGAACTTTTTGTGCTGTTTTCTAAGTTTGGACTTGAATAAAGAGAGAAAACTTGCACTTCACAGGCATTTTGTTTCTATAGTTAGATATCGTGATGTATCATTCGAGGATTGTCTAGCAATATATCGATTATCGCAAAATCACTGTATCGTGATAGTATCGGTATCGTGAGCCATGTATCGTGATTTGTATCGTATCAAGAGGTACCCTGCGATTCCCACCCCTACTCAAGATATGCACAAAACACTTAGAAAGTCACAACAACACTTTCTCGATTCATGTTCTTGCTCTTTTTGTTAAGGATTCATCACTGAAGATATTCTACAGAAAAAAAAAAAGTTGGTCTCCATAAGCTTTCAAGATGTTCCTTAACCCTAACCTAACCCATCCAATCACTGGAAGTCAGTTGTGCCCTACGTAATCTGTCATTTGTGAATTCAGTCCCACATTGACTAATCAAATTGTCTTACATGACTTTTCATCGTCCTGCTGCATTTTCCTCAGGGTCTCTTTCAGCTTGCGGATTACGTCGGCTCTGTGCTCCAACATGGAGCTCATCTGTGCAATTCTAGAATAAAATGATCACAGAAACATGTTAAACTCACTCTTCCCCGACTAAACTGTACATCAAAGGAATAAGTGGCTAATAACTAGGCTTATTTCAGCAGTGGGATGGCACACATACTCCTTCTCATGACTTGTTGTGACTGCAATGTGATCCAGCTCCATTTTGACAAGTTTGTCTTTTAGGGCGGCAAGCTCAGCGGCTCCTGGTGTCATGCTCCTCTTAGCCAGAACCTGCAGGACAAATTTAGAGGAAAATCAAGCATGATTTGCACTCTGAGAGAATCAAAAACTGCATTTTGTCACAAAATGAACATCGCATTATATTCAGTATAGGGGTGTGCACAAATAGTCAAATATTCAATCTGTAATTATTATTCAAAAAATAAAAACACTATTCAATGTTAACTACATGTTGCCTTGCTGGCCGTAAATGCAGGCCATGATTACATGATGAATTACATGATAAATCCTAAGCACACAAACTAAGTCAGTTATAACTAAATGCACTGGGTGGTGCTGTGGAGTGTGTTAACAATTTGATTGTATTTGATCACAGAATGTTGTCGTCTGCCTCACAGTTTGGAATTATTTGATCAAAATTATCTTACTAAATGGAATTACTTTTGATCAAATGAATGAAACAAATGAGTTATCATAGTATCACCACCACAATGAGAAAATCACATGAAATTCAAACACCAGTCGACTGAGGAAAGACTGTCCATCACTGCATTCACGACTGCAGGTAAGCGCAGCTGTACCCCGAGTGAGCAGAGAAGAGAGCTTATCTGATAGCAAAATTATTTTGAGACATATGCTTCCTTTAAGTTTCCTCGAGGGAGAGTGGCTTAAGAACAGAAAACACAAAGTGCTGTAAGAAACTTTGCTTAGCACACTGTTATCTTTGTGTTTCTCTGGAACGTCTGTGTCAGCACACATTTCTATTGTTATCAGACTGAGGAGCCAACTTTCAAGTGGATATTGTTTTTCTCAACATTAACATGATGTGAGATACAAACACGATAAACATATGCTGACTTGAGTATGTACGTTTTGTACTGTAATTGGCACGGTCTGGTTTATTTTTTTCCGTTAACTCTGCTTGAGCTTAAATGCTTTTGTTCTTTATATATACACTTTTTTTTTTTTTACACATTTTCAACTAAAAGAAAACTTTGAGATATAACAACGTTTTTGTAGAATATTGTGGTGTATTATGCCTAATCATAAGCTTGTTCAGAAATGGTGACAAAAACATATTTATTAAAAAAATAATGTCTTTCTCGTTAATCATCATTTAAATAAACAAACTCGAATATTCATTTTTTTATGAGCCAAAATATTCAAACAGTATTTTTTGAAAAATGCCCATCCCTAATTCGGTATTCAATTAGGAAAAGTAAAAATATGGTGCTGGTGAACTGAAATGGGTTGCAAGGCTCTCAGTATGTTTCTACAGAACATAGGCCTAGATCTGCTTCTGTTTTATAGACTCAAACCTCAAGCATTTAATGACCAGCACAAACTCTTTAAGTATCAATCAACTATTAACCAACCTCTGACTCTTTAAGTTTGTCTTGTAAGCTCTGGATGAGGGCTTCCTTCTCTTTTAGCTGGCCACCGAGTTCCTGAAGCTGAAGATTTGAGGCATCAGCCTGGACCTTCAGTTCCTTCATCTGCTCCTGAATATCCTGTCAGACAAAGAACAACTCTAAGTTTGGATGCCTTTAAAAACAACAAACAAAATGCCTTTAAAAACAACACGTTCTGTAACACTGTCACCGTGTTGATGGCAGAGTTTATGTGTACTAAATGACTGGAAAAGTCCTGCATCACCAGAGAGAAATGCGTTGTTTTAATCAGAAGATCCAGTTATGATAATTAATATAAAAAATTACGAGGTTAAAAAGAAAAGAAAATGCATGGATAAATCACTCAAAATAAGTGAGCACTTAGTAAACTGTGAATTCTTATTTCATGCTGACTTTAAGCCTGCATAACATTGCTGCTCTCAGAGAAAAGAGCTCTCCATACCTCGATCTGTTTCTGGGTTTGCTGCAGCTGCAGTGACAGACACTGATTGTCCTGCAGAAGTTCAGTCTCAGTTTTGGGCAGGGTGCCGCGTTGAGCTTGAAGCAGAGTTGAAGTCTCTCTTCTCTGATCCTTCAGGCGCAGCTCAGACTCGGCAGAGGACGATTTGAGGGGGGAAATCGCAGAGTCACATTCATTCAACAGAGCCTGTTGACGAGCACTTATGGTCAGGAAAGGTGTGGAACAAAAACACATAAAACCATTCAAAACATATGCATTGCTTACAAAATAAAACGCATTGAGACGCTCTGTCGCTCTGGTACGCCGAGCGATTTGTCGCTCATGCAGCTGTACAATAGCAGCGGTCTGAGGAGATCCGAGTAGAGATCTGAGCTCCTCCAGCGCACGAGTCCTGTGCTGATGCTCCTCTGACACCATCACTTCATGATTGGCTAAACCGTCCTCCAGAACCTTTAGAGCAGCCTCCAGTTTCTGATACACACACACACAAATAAGATACATTAGTACCACAAAGTAACATTGAATCATACAGTTAATACATTTATTTCCATAGTGCTTTATACAATACATTGTTCCAAAGCTGCTTCACACTAATAAACTGGAAAATAAGTGTTAATGTTACAAAATTAATCAGTTATGAAAACAATTTCAACTGTAAAGCAGCTCTACAGAAGACAATCGTGTCATTATTCAGATCACTGTTGATTCTAATGTCAGTGTCAATGTTGCAAAGTTCAGTTATAACAAACTAAGAATTTATCAACTAGATTTGTTTCTGTAGCGAATGTGAACAGTAGCCGCTTTTACACTGACAGGCTAGTGTGAGCCAGGCGGGGCCATTAGCCTCGCACCTCAAGCAGCATTTCCACTGTCAGACCAGCACTACTCTAAAACCTGCCCTTAACACGCCTCCCTGAAGCAAACGTCACACAATCATTCCACCATTTTACCAGTGAATGAATGAACACTAACTATATTGCAAAACAAACTTAAAAGCAGCAGACGTTTAGTCCTTCCATAAAGACTTAAGACTCCAGCATCGATATTTTATCTACCAATGATTTATGTGATCGTTGTGTCAGTAGTACACATCAATGATGCTAGATCAAACTGATATTTATTATTATTCCACATAAAAAGAGAGCACACATACTTGTTCAGTCACAGCTGCTCTATTTATTTGTGATGACAAGAATGCATGAAACACTGCATTCAGGCTTTTAAATCTAAATGTGTACACATATAACACAAAAGGAAATACTGATAAACTCATATTTATGCCAAATTTCTTTAGAAAGAATGAGCATTTATTATTTTTCACATAATTAATTACGTAATCCGAGGATGTTTGAGCGCCGTCTCCCATCTCACTATACTGTTATCCTTTCAGCCAAAGCAACAGAGGGAGCTCACGGACAGAAAACCGGACTTACACGAGTAACACGGAGTATATGAAATTTTCGACATCATAATACAGATTAGGGATGCCACAATTCTCAATATAATATTGAACCCTTCGGTATGATATCCATGGTCCAATATGGGCTTGTGAATTGCGGTTTTACATTTAAATAATTTACGGGACACACTGAGAGTTAGAGTTGCTTATAACATGCATTTGAAAAAGTAACACACGCCAAACATCTTCCCTTGTAATGACTTGCAGTGAGAAGCCTTTCTAAACCTGCTGTCCAACAAAAGAGAACATTTAATAATGTTTTTACTCCACATCACCATTCGAGTGTTTAAAATAACTTTTTTCTTTTGGTGATCTAATGTGGCTTCATATCACAGAATGAGGCAGAAAATATATTCTATACTGTAATAAAGGCTATGTTGATTAGCAATGGATTATTAATATCCTTAATTATTATGAAAATACCTGAGATGGCTTGAAGAACACAGATAAACTATATATTGTCACAGTCAAGTGTTTATTGTCTTCATGATTCATCATTCAAAACGTTTCTATCTTCTTTTTATTCTGTTACAGGGATAGCTAGATGTCTTTGTCCACAGGGATTTCCTGGAGCGTCCTATTACTTCTTTGAGGCCTTTATGGAGTTTCTGCACGAGGGCACCCTCTGGCTTCCAGTATGAATGAAACAGACATTACATGTTTATAGCGCTCCATAATGGCCAATCCACCCTATTTTGGGTAAAAATAGGAAAAATAATACTTCTCAAAAGAAATTTGAAGTAGAAATATGATAATCCATGTTTTTCTATAGTGTACAGGAATTTTTACAGGAGTCTAACTCTTTATTTTTAATAATGAAAGTGTTATTACAATTGTAATTTATTATTTTGTTTAATATTTTTGTATTTAGCAATAATAATATTAATAATAATCTTAATTATTATTAGTCATATACATAAGCACATTTTGGGCCAAATTGTGCAGCCCTACAAACACGCACAACAAACCTGGTGTTTATTATATAAAGTTTTTGTTTTAAAAATCGCATTTTAAAATCACAAAAAAACATGGCCAAGCCATCAGAAATGAACCAAACCAGAAACCGTGGTAAAAAAACCTGAGGTATGTATTGAATCATGGGCTAACTGTATTACTGTAATGCAGATGCAGAAGACCAATATCAACAACGACACGGGGAAGAGACAGAACAAATATGAAACCAAATACACGATTATAATAATTCATTCAAGATGATTTCAATTCATGACTTCAAGCAGTCCCTAGTATTTTCATAAGTATAATGTGTATATAGGGCGATGGTTAGCATATGTTGCCTTTAACATTGCATATAATACATTTCTGCCTCGTACGATGATCAGAACTCCCATCGGGCCACAATCGTAAGTTATTTTAGATACACGCTGGTGTCCGAAAGTGAGTTTTGCCATTAAAATTGTTTTAAATGTCTTATTGACATTTAAATGTTGATGTTAGCTTGATAGCTAACTGTCTCCAAACTCGGATAAACTCTGCCTTTGTCCATGACCACTCCTCAAGCCCCAGTTGGCCCGCTTTGGACTAAGGTATTCGGCAGGTCAAAAATCCCTGGCTGTTGGCCCAGAGGAAGCCCTGATAAGGCTCACTCAAACCACAGAAGTGACAATGGAAACGCTTCTAACCCTGGAATGCAGTAGCATGCTCATTTTTGGCCCGATAGTGGAAAGTAAAATTATAAACAATAATCATGATCATACCTGCAAGTACTGCTGCCGTCTTTCCAACAGACGTGACAGTCTCTGATCCCAGAGCTGCTGAAAGTCATCTTGGAGTGATCGGAAAGACTGTGATGGAGTCTGAGCCATGAGCAGGTCCTGTAGTCGAGACTCCTCAAACGAGGCCACGTCACGCTGCACCTCTGTCTCATAGTGTGTCTTGTAGCGCTGCGCCAGTCTCCTGTATGCCTCCTATAATGGTTTGTCCTTCTGTGAGCATTTCTTAATTTTGCAAAACATCCATTGTTGTGATTTGTGTCTCTGCGGACTCTTACCGCGATCTTGATCAGCACGTGGTTCAGTCTGGTAGTTTTCTTGGTGTGTTTGTCGTGGATCGTTCTCTGATCCTTTGGAATGAATGGCACCAGCTGAAAGATCACAGCCCATTCTTCACGGTTCACATCAGTTAAAGCGTTAGAGGGACGGTCGATGATCTGCTGGAGCTTCGCAAAGGCCGCCTACACATGGAAGAAAAACCTCAAATCAGACTATTGAAAAGGATCAAAGAGTCTTGAGAAGACCACACACACGGTCAACATCAGCATTTACCTGCATCTTCTCATCAGACACATCAATCTCAGGAACCAGATATCCAGATCTGTGTTTGGACTGCAGGTTACTCTGATCAGAAGACACACTGCAGTTCACCTCAGTGAGAGACTGAAACACAATGACACTTGGCTTAAAAAAAGTTAAAGGAACTGGTTATTCTGGGTTAGAACATGAAAAGACGACACACACCTGACTGAGGGAATGGACTTCAGATTCCAGGAGGATCTTCTGCTTTTCCAGCTGCTCTGCTTTTGATTCAATGCGTGTCAGCTGTGATGGAGTATGACGACAATGTTAACATAAACATAGACTTACTGACCAGTGAACACCTTCATACAACCCAAACTGCACTGGAATATGATCTACAGTCACATACACTCTTAAAAATTAAGCTTCCGAAAGGGTGTTTTTACAGTGATGCCACAGAAGAACCATTTTTGAACCTTTCAGTGAGCAGTTCTTAAAAGAACAATTTTTTCTTAGTGTGAAGAACATTTTGATAATCTAAAGAACCTTTTTCCCCCAATAAAGAACCTTTAGTCAAAAACCAGCTCACACCCACCAAAATACCTGATCTCAGATCCAGTGTTTAGGAGTGTGATTTATTAGTTCACCCACTCCTTTCAGCACATTTTAAGACCTCACCTTCTCCATCTTTCCTTCCAGTTCTTGTTTGAGTTGATCTCTCTCTTTCGTGACATCTCTTAAAGACTCAAGGACCTGCTCAGCATGCGTCTTATTCTCCAGCTGATCCGTCATGTCAGCGAGAGACTCAAGCTCCTCAGTCAACTGGTTTCTCTAAAGAAACAACAAATTACTTTAAGAAATGAGGTGCTTTTACTGCAGTGTGAGCGTTCCAAACTGAAATGACCACCATGCACCACAGAAATTAGTAACAAGCTTACCGTCTCCTCACTCTTTTGAAGATTCTGTCTCAGTTGTTGTCCCTCCTCTCTGGTTCTCTTTAGCGTGTCCTGGAGTTCATCCCTCACTTTTGTAAGTGAGGTGAGTTTTGATTGGAGGTTTTGGATCTCTGTGTTGTGCTGGTCTCGTAAAGCTGAGAGATCTTCACTTATTTGACTCAACTGAGGAAACAGAATAAGAGATTTCCAGCATTTAATCATTCACTTGTCGTATGTAAGGATTGTTAATCCGTGTCTAACAGTGCTCACCTGCTGCTGAAGATGAGACTCTTTCGCAGCACTCTGCTCCATCAGTTCTGCGTTCTCTTTCTGCTGTTGCTTCAGCTCCTCCTTAGTAACGTGCAGTAAATCCTCATACATTTTAGACTACAGGAAAGAATAAAAACAGTCAGTTCAGACAGATGTGTTGTGTGGAGCTCAGATGACATTACACTGATGACATGAAGCCTCACAATCGCAGTTGCCTCCTGAAGGTCTTTCCTGAGCACCACCCTCTGATTCCTCAGAGACTCTATCTCCTCAGTGAGAGCTTGAATCTGGACGAGATCACAAAGAAATAAAACACAGAACATGAAGAATGGGTATGGTAAGGAACTAAACAGTTCTTGTTATACTTTTTATTCCATTAACAATTCTTGCAGTACTTGATGTTTTGAACAATGTTGGCAATCAACAGTTCAAGTTTCCATTGACTTCCATAATCAATTTTTTGTTCTATGGAAGTCAATGGAAACCAAACATAGTTGGTTACCAAAATTTCTCAAAATATCTTGTTTTCCACAGAAAAAAAAGTGATAGTGGTTTGAAACAACACGAGGTTGAGTAAAGGATGAAAATGTTCATTTCTGGGTTAACTGTCCCTTTAAAAAACAGTTAGCAAGCTAATCATGAACGTAATGACTTGAAGTTCTGTGAGCAAAGCAGATGTTAATTCACCAACCTCACCAAAAGATTAAGAGAGCCACTAGACAAATTCATGGATTTGAGAGCTGCTGTTTTGATGGACTCATTTAAAAACACTGTAGAAAATATATATATTTTTAATTCCAACAGTACTCAACATTATATACAGGGTTTCATGAAGATACATTTAAGACTTAAGAACTTTTTACCAAAGTGAAGCAAACATAAGCGATGAATTGAAGGGAAAGGAACACAATATGCCAATATGGTCTCTAAATGTAAATGTATTAACACACTTCAAAGTCTGACAACACAACTTCTAACCAATTTTAAAAAATATATATTTTACATATCTGCCACTTGGCTCAGAAAAATAAATTTTTCAAAAAACAAGACTTCACATCTTCATTTTGCATTTCAAGTAAATGTATCTTGATTTAAGGATGTTCAGATATTTGTACTGAAACAAGACAAAAATACTTTTTTGACAAAGGACTTTATAAATGTAAGACTTTCTGCTCAGATTTAAGACCTTTTAAGGCTTTAAAGCCTTTGAAAGCTGGAATTAAGATTTTAAGATCTTTTGAAGAGCTGCAGAAACCCTGTACATACTATGTGCCAAAACATCTCTTGCACTAAAAGATCTCACAGACAGTTACATACCTGCTCAAGTTGGGCTTTCTGTTTCCCTGTGGGACTCATATGATCAGCCACCTGATGTTTCTTCTGTTTGAGCTCTCCTTGGACCTGAATCAACTGAAGAGAGATTTTAATGAGTAAACCAACTCTAAAGCACCGTTCACACTACAAGCGACACACAATGACAAAGCGACATGATCCCATTCATTTCAATGGAGAGCTGGTGATTTTCGGCGACATGAGCGACAGCGACCATTGGCGACCAGATGGGTCCAGCGTCCAGCGACGCAACAAAGTTTAGAACCCTTCAACTTTATGCAAATGAAGAGTGACTTTCAGGAGCGACAGCCAATAGGAAAGAAGACAGTAGAGCTCATGTGATTGTTCACCTCTCAACTCTGGTAGTGACGGAAAGATGGAGGAGAGGCTGTTTGCGTTTTTGCCGAAGATAAACATACGCAATGGAAAAAAGCAGGCTCTGTTTCTCATTCATTTTTGTTTTTATGTACGGATTCAATTTAAATTATATTATATTTAATCTTTTGCCTCCAATATGTTTGTATTTAGGGGCAAGAAAACCGATTCGCTGTCAACAACGACGTTACTAGGCAGCCAGTAGTGAGAACGCCCACTAACGACCTCATCGCCAACCCCTGGCAACATGCAGCGACAAAAGTGTGAACGCAGCTTAACCTCTTCATTCGTTCAGAAAGGCACACCACCCATGTGGAGCCAACTGTCTGCTAACTCGGATAAATTCTGCCTTTGTTCATGACCACTTCCTCAAGCCCCAGTTGGCCCGCTTTAGACCAACGTATTCGTTACCTCTCGAACACCCTGCAGGATCTCCTGAAGGTCTCCTCCCTCACTCGGAGACATCACACTGGAGGAAGAGCCAGATCGGTTACATGCAGTGTCTCTCTCTGCCATCAGACGGTCTCTCTCAGCACAAGCGGACTGCAGCTCCTGTCTCAACTGCACCATCTGTGAGAAAGTGGAGAAACATTCAACTTTGATCAGAGTCAAACTCCGCTAGACAGAAGCTGATGGTGTGCATTAAGCTTCTGTTACCATCTCGCTCTTCTCTAATTGATCTCTCTTCAGCTGCTCTCTCTCATTTCTCATGTCCTGCAGTGTCTCCAGCAGCTGGTCTCTCTCTTGAGTCAGAGAGGCAATGTTAGCTTTAGCCGCCTTCATCTCTGCTAATTTCTCCTGCTGTTCTCTTGTTCTCTCAGAAAGCAGCTGTTCTTTCTCTGCAGAAGACGACTGAATCTCTTCTTGTAGCTGCAGCAACTGATAAAGAGAAAAATGATCACATAAGGGCGATTCATCAATCAGGGAATTTTTCTGATTTAAGAAAAAATAATGAAGTTGTACCCAAAATAAACATTTTTGGCAACAATGCAAAATAAGCTACAGATATGAATTACAAAATCCACTTGAAGGCTCATTAAAGACATGATGTGACACGTTTAAATGTAAATCAAGTTTTACTGAAGATTAAAGGGACAGTTCACCCAATCTTCTGCTGAACACAAAAGATATTTTGAAGAATGTTGGCGACCAAACAGTTTCAGTTTCTATTGACTTCCATAGTATGGACAAAAATACAATGGTAGTCAAAGGGAACCAAAACTGTTAGGTTGCCATCATTCTTCAAAATATCTTCTTGTAAGTTCCACAAAAGAAAGAAAGTCAAACAGGTTTGGAATGATGAAGGTGAGTAAATAATGGCAGAATTTTCTTTTTTGGGTAGCTATCCCTTGTCAAAACTGAACCTAATTGAAGAATGACTCAAATCACTCACAGTCTCTTCCTTCTCCTCCAGGTCTCTCCTCAGCTGATTCTTCTCCTCTCTGTTGACCTTCAGGATCTCCAGAAGCTGCTCTCTCTCCTCAGTGACAGAAGCCATGCTCGTCTGGACTTCCTCTAGCGTCATGTTCTCCAGATCGCTCTTGTTCTTCTCAGACAGCAGAAGGTCTCTCTCAGTGCAGGCAGACTGGAACTGCTCTCTCACCTGCACCAGCTAGGAATCATGGGAGAATTGAGATTTACATTTGAAAAGAGAAAGGAACAGAGAGGAACTACACTGAAAAGGGTCTCACTGTCTCGTCCTGTTGCTGCTGGTCTCTCTTGAGCTGCTTGTTCTCATCTGTAAGCCACTGTAGAGTCTCCAGGAGCTGATCTCGCTCCTCAGTCACAGAGCTCATTCTGGAGCTCATCTTCTCCATCTCTCCGGTTCTTTCAGATGCCACACGGTCTCTCTCGGCACAAACAGACTGAAGCTCTGACTTCAACTGGACCATCTGAATGAAGGGAATACTTCATTTAAAATTAAAATAAAAAAGTGAAAGCCAGAGAGGATAAACCCACCCACAGGAACTGATAACACATTCAGATGGTTTATATACTTCCACAACTGTAACAGTTGGATATTTCAAAATGATTATTTGCGGTGCTGGACATCCATTTTAAGTATAATGTAATTGTAAATCGGAATGCAGTAGCATAGAAGCTATTTTATGATGAGAGTAGCCCAGAATAAGCGATTCGGTTTTCCCCTGTTGTCATTTTTACCATCTGGTCTCTCTCCTGCTGCTCTCTCCTCAGCTGATCCACCTTGACTCTGAGGCCCTGCAGTGTCTGCTCGAGTTGGTCTCGCTCCTCCATCAGAGAGCTGATGCTGGTCTTCATCTGCTCCATCATCTCAGTTTCACTGCGTGTATTCATGGAGCGTTCAGACAGCAGACGCTCTCGTTCACAGCACACACTCTCAAACTCCTCTCTCAGCTGCTTCATCTGTGAAAGTCAAACCGTATAAACAGTTTGAACTGGCCTCAAGTCGCCTTTTTTTGCAAATGACTTTCATTCAATGAATCACCAACAAGCACCAATAATGATTATTGCCCAAATATTCATTGAGACAGAATTGAGACTTTTGCATCAATAATGCTATTGCTAAAGCAAACAACGTAAATTTGTATTTTTAAATAACACACTCATCAACAGTCCATGACAAACCAGAAAACCACAGTAAATGAGAACTACATGTCAATCAGTCACATGATCTACCTGAACCTGAAGCTCCTGCAGTTGTTGGGATGTGTTTTCAGAGTCCTGGAGTTTGGACTCCATTAGCATTTGCTGAGACTCCAGCTCTCGTATGGTGTTCTGAAGATCTTTCACCTTCTCAAGAGCTCCTCTCAACTCCTCTTGATTTTCAATCATCTGCATTTGAAAAAAATAAAAATAAAAGGATTTATTAAAATAGGCACTTAATGAGGGGTTCTTCCAAAGTCAGGCAATAAACTAATCAAAAGTGACAGTAAAGACATTTATAATGTTGCATAAGATTTCTATTTCAAATAAATGTTGTTCTTTTGAATTTTCTATTCATCAAAGAATCTTGAAAAATAAAATGTATTATGATTTCCACAAAAAAGATGATGCAGCGCAACGGCTTTCATAATTTTCCTCATAATTTGTTAAAATGTTTCTTGAGCAGCAAATCAGCATATTAGAATGATTTCTGAAGTATCGTCTGACACTGAAGACTGGAGTAATGATGCCGAAAATTCAGTTTTGAACACAGGAATAAATTAATAGAAAATAGTTATTTAAATTGCAATATTATTTTACAATATTACTGTATTTTTGATCACATAAATGCAGCCTTGGTGAGCAGACCCCCAACATTTAGTAGTAGGTTTATAATTTTTACATTTCATGAAATTATAGAAGAATACCAATAATAGCATATGTGCTCATGTGGAGGAAAACTTGTTTCTCATGTTCCTTTCAAAAGCACTTCCATCTCACCATTTCAACATTCTCCTGTAGATCAGATTTTAACTGGTTCTTCTCCTCATTCACACTGTCCAGCTCCTGTTCAAGCTGCTGCATCTGTGAGAGACAATTCACACCATGATTATGAAAACCATGATCACCAGTATCTAGGTGATCTGAATTTTACTTGATTACTGTACTTTAGTATTATGGGGGATTTGTACTTTTTTTTTCAATTACATTTTAAAATGACCATTTGTACTTTTACTTGATTACATTTCTGAAGAAATGTAATCAAGTAAAAGTACAAGTACTCCTTAAAATGTTATTTCAACTTGAAAAGTACTCGTTACATTTGAGCATTTTTATTTTATCTTACACGCATTAAATACGGTAAACGGAAACTCAAATGTGTGCGCTTGACGTGTGGACTTTGTTTTCATGCATCAAGCACAGACATTTCAGCTTCAGTTATAACTTTCATCAGGTAAATGTCTGGCATCAAAGGTTTGTCATCAAATGTGAGAAAGCATATTCAGGTAGCAAAGTTTATTCATTATTTTTGTACGTTTTGATATAGCTATTAGCTGTCTGTGTAATATATTGGCTGAATGCACAAGTGCAAATAAAATCAATAATGAGACTTTAAACACAATTTATGTTTTTGTGGGAATTATTCCTTTAAATTAAATGTTACAAATCTACAAAAAGTGTTTAAATGAACGCTGTATGCTAAATTAATTGTAAATCATGTTTAGTGATGTTCTTACTAGGGAGTGGATAAGTCGTATTATAATGATATACTCAGTAACAATTAATTATTTTTAAATCTGAATAATTACATTATTTGCTCATTAATTAATCTAATTAGTCGCAAATAATTATATATCAATATTTACAGAGAAAAAAAAAAAACTCTAAATGAACCAAATAAACAATAAAAGATTAATTATTGTTCTAGACAGGGCGTTGAACAGTGAACACAAAATGTGGCCTTTCAATTAAAGTTAATGTTGTATGTTTTACAACATTACGATTTCTCTCCTGATTAATTCAACACACATTCTTCTGTCTGTATGCTTTTGGTCTTTGCATCACATTTTGCTCTTTTTAAAGAGATAGTCCATCGAAAAATTAAAATTCTCTCATTATTTACTCAACCTCATGCAGTCCCAGATGTATGTGATTTTCTTTCTTCAGATAAACACACTAGGGATGTAACGGTATGAACATTTCTTATCACTATTATAGTGACCAAAATTATCACGTAAAAAAAGTACCGATACATAAATCAACCAAGTTTTATATTTAAAAATCAACAAACAACAAATAAAATGACTTTTTGTTTGCATAATCACTAAAACAATAACATTACCAATGATGTTGGGATTTTAAATGACAACTTGACTGACAACATAAAAAGGTAAACCTCACATTTCAGCCTTTAAATAAAGAAAAGATATAAGTCAAAATGATAATTGATTAATAAATGATTTTATCTGCTCCATAAATAATTCTAGATAACTTATCTGAATTGTTTAAATGTGTAGAATCCACATAAGTTTGTTATTCATTAACCGATCAAAATTTACAGCAGGGCATGCAAATTCAGTCCGTTTTTGGGCAGACAGAAACTGCTCACAGGCTGAATGTAAATAAATATAAGTCTCTGTAAATTCACTCACTGACAGCAGGTGGCGCTGATGGAAAAACTGAATTAGAGCCGTTTCCCGTAACCTCCGTGGACAAAGCAGTATTGCGATTAAGAACACTTCCTTTAGGTATAACATGGAGCAAAGATGAAAACAAAAGCCATCGAATCGTTTCTGAAGTCAGTCAGAACCTTCAGAGGTACATTCATGTAATTAATTCATTCATATATTCATTTGTATAATTCCCCTTAGCAGTCTTTTAAAACTTCCCAGCTTTTCCGCCCTGTTTTCACTCAAAACGAAACTACTCTGCGTGCTGTGCACACGTGAGACTGTTACTGAAAACTGTGCTTTATGCTGGACAGTATTTATTTATCGTAAGTTGTTCAAATCGCGGTAATCCAATACGGTTTTAATGATAATTAAAAGATGAAACGGTAATACTATCCGTGGGGAATTTTATGATGAGTTATCGTCAAACCGGTAATCGTTACATCCCTAAAACACACACAAAAATTTTTAGTTCTTATAACACAAGTTACATTTCAAAGAACACACAAAGTGAACACAATAGTAAATTTTTAAATATCAGTATTTGAACGTTTCTTACGCCTATCATTGCGCTTAAGACAGATTTATTAACAGGTGTTGTATGGGTTACCGTTGTCTTCACTTTGTGTAGTTTTTGAAGCATCATTTTTGAATGTTATACACTTGCATTATATGCAGAGACAATGATTAAGTTTTTCTAAAACTCTTAAGTTTGTGTTCATCTGAAGAAAGAGTCATATACAAATGGGATGGCATGTAAAGGGACTTTTTGAATTCCGCTGTGCTGCATTTTATTGTTGTTGCATGCACTAGATAGATGTGTTTGACCTGTGCCATTGCGTGTTTTTTCACCCTTTAACCAAACCTTTGTTTCTCTATCTGAAAAAAACATTATGCAGTTTATTTTTAAGCAGTTTCATTTTGTATTGAGAAGATGCTTCAATATGATAAAAAAAAAAAAAATAATAATAATCTTTTTTTTTTACTTGAGTATTTGAATACTTGAGTACAATTTAAGCTGTACTTTTTTCTTTTATGTTTTTGGCCAAATGCTTGTACTTTTGAGTAAAATTTTATCTGTATTTTCACTTGAGTATAATTTTTGAGTACTTTTTACACCCCTGTCAGTATCTGATCTGATGTGCTCCAAATCAAGAGCATGTGAAAAGCTCTCTGTTTACCTGCTGGAGGAGTTCATCATGCTGTGTGTCTGTCTGTGAGCCGCCGTGTTCCTGCTGAACCTGCATAAGCTGAGAAAACATTTCCTATATACACACACCTCACTTTATCATTTATACACCACTATAAAACTCTACAGCTGAATTCAGCCTTTACCATCCCATTAGTGTCTTCAAGGTCTCTCTTGAGCTGGTCTCTCTCTTCTCTCAGGCCCTGTAGAATCTCCTGGAGCTGCTCTCGCTCTTCAGTTATTGAGCGTATAGTGTGCCGCAGCTTCTCCATCTCATCTGGGTCTCTCTGAACTTCCTCCATCTTCTCAGACAAAAGCACATCTTTCTCTCCACGAACAGACTCCAGCTCTGCACTCAACTGCACCGACTGACACACGGTAACAACAATGTTAAATCACTCAATCTGGCAGTTAGTGGGACTGTGTGTAGTGATAAGTGTGAACGGACCTTCTGTGTGGCCTCCTCTAATGATGTGAGCAGTGTGCTGTTCTCCTGTGTGACGTGCTGGAGATCTGTCTGGATGTTCTGAAGCCGTTCTGATGTCTCTGTGAGCTGTTGGCTCAGTTCTGCTTCCTTCAGCTGAGCATCAACCAGATCACTCTCCATCTTCAGCAGTTGATCCTGAGCTTTAGACGTCTCATCTTTCAGTCTCTGATGGTCTTCATTCACACTGGACTGAGAGGATATCAAAGTGTCTCTCTCCTCTCTAACAGAACTCAGCTCTTCTGACATACCACACACCTGAGAAACCATAATGGATGAGACTAAGCCATGTAGAAACAAAGAAAGTTAGCAAAGATGATGTTATGCAGTTCCTCTAACCTGTCTCTGCAATTCATCCACTTTAACAGGAAGCGTTTCCATCTGCTCCATCTTACTCTGCAAACATAGCTCCCTCTCATGACTCTGATCAAGCTCCTTACGCAAGTCGCAGACAGTTTTCTCCAACACAAGACTATCTGTCAGATCTGTGAAGGGGGAAAAGAAGAGTGAACATCAAAAGTAACAAATTACTTTTATAAATGACATAAAACAGTAACTGAAACACTCCGGGCACCAACTGGTTTAATCTTAAGCAGTTAAACAGTTACCACAAACATAAAAATTCTGCCATCATTGACTCACCCTTATGTCTGTTCAAACTAGGGATGGGCATTTTTGTCAATTTCTCATCTAGATCATCAATAGGTCTAAAAAAAAAAAACAGTGTGCGGGGTGTGTCCGTCATGGAGATAATGAAAATATTTTTCAAACTTATGAAAATTAATGTTGCTGACAAATGTATATCATGGTTCAAGATGGCGCCGAGCATGGCAGCCGTGTTGCGAGCTCCGAGAAAACTCTGCAGTTTTTCGTTTGTTTTACTTGTTATTTTGTTGTTCTACGTGTTGGATGTTGTTAGTATAACTGTCTACGATAGACACACGCTTTTAAACATTGGCTCCTACGTCGCGCAACGCAAACCGGACTTTGAGTTCTTGAACGCCGGCGCTCTGTTTACAGACACCGTGGTGATGTGACAATAAAAGTGACTTTGACTTTAAATAAAAATGACATAAAACCATGACCATATGACTAGAAAAAATAATACTGCTAGATTATGATGCATTAATGTTATCGAAAAAAGAAACATCTAAAAGGAGTAGCTGCATGAGGTGAAGCTGAAGAGATGAACTCCAGTAAACCGAAGCCTGTTCTATGCCACATCCTAGTGCTGGGCGGTATGCCCAAAAATGTATATCACGGTATTTTTCAAAATTATACCGGTTTCACGGCACATCCTATGAGATTAATCAAATATCCTAGAAACGCAACATAAACGTAACATTACAACTTCTATCTGCACAAAATAATGCATAAGTTATGTGATATATCCAGAGAGTGTAACTCCCGCTGTGGATGCGCTCTTCTCATAGCAGCATGCTGAAACATGGGCAAGGAAAGCAAAAAGAATTCACAACATCCTATAGTGTTTTTGTTATAATGTTATGTATATGCCTACTGTTGAAAAAATATTACGAGGAAAAAAAACAGTGCTGCATTAATAATATAAATGTTTTTGAAAAAGAAACATCAAAGCAATAAGACCGTATCAAACAACCCAATGATAGTCAATAATATCAGGTATTGCATTTGAGCTGAAACTGAATAAAACCACACTGCAGCACTTCGCTAGTGGGTTAATAAACTCAGACAAATGCATCCTATATTAGAATAATCAGATAAATACCTATTTACAACTTACATCTGCACAAAAGGACGTGAACGCGCATGTGAACTTGATTCTTCCTCGCTATATAAATATGAATCACCAACTTAATTTCGTTTCGGAAGTTTAAAAATATGTCTAAAAAATCCCCTAACTCCCCCTCAAATTAAAAAAATCCCCCATAAGAGCCACCTAAAGGGGGAATTCACCCAATTTTCCACAACGAAATTCAGGCCTTGCACTCCTCCCTTAACAGCGCGCTGAAAAACAGTCAACTAAAGCACAGAGAATTTACAACATCCTATTACAATCCTGTTCTCATTATATTGTTACATATTTGACAGACTGGCGCTGCACATCTTTCACTGTATTTCATGAACAAAGTGATTCCAGGCATCAATGTGGCCTTTCAAATCCAGTTTCACTTTATTTCGCCGGTCTGGAAGGCATGCTGTCTAACACTAACAAATCAGACCTCAGATACCGCCCAAAAGAGAAATATATATTTTAAAATCAGGACGATCATCGTTTTCATGATCGATCGTGCTGTCACGTCCAAGTACTCATGCCCATCCCTAGTTCAAACCCATAAGATTTTTGTTCATCTTCAGACCACAAAGATATTTCTAATTTTCATTTCATCATTTTTGTCCAACCATTGAAAGTCAGATAAAGAAAGCACAGAGACAGTACAAGTAATCCATATGAATTGAGTATTTTAAATCCAAGTCAACAAACCTCAATGGTTTTTGCACATCAAGCTCACATGGTTGCGATTCCATTTACTGTATCTAATGTGCTTTATGCACATGCATTGATCATTGTTTATATGTGAAAAAAAAAACTAAATTAAATCTGTTTGTCATAAAAAGTGATTCAGTCTCTTCAGAAGACTTGGATTAAGTTACTTGATTCATATGGATTTCATTTGAAAATGTCTTTATGCGCCTTTTAAAGCTTGAAAATGAATTAATCTGACTTTCAATGGATGGACAAAAAAAAATCCCCTTAAGGCTGGTTAAATTTTCCTTAAACATCAGCATTTCAAACGTTCTGATGATCATTGTGAATTGTTCACAATTCAAACGTAAACATGAATTTAGAGAGTACTGTACAAGCAGTCAGTTTAGATTTCATGTTGACTTCAGATCATGATGTCCCTCTATATGTTCTTCACTTACTTTTTGGTACTTTTCCATCCAGAAGAGCAGTTAGTTTGGTATTCTCATCGAAAGCACCCATTAGTTCTTTCTGAAGATCCGTTTGCATCTTCTTGAAGCGAGACTTCTCCTGCTCCAGCTTGTCCTGAAGCATCTTCACCTCAGCTTCCATCTTCTCATAGCCTGTAGTCAGGGTTGCCTGATTGAAGCAGAGTCACACAAAATAAATTACTTATGACCTGCACACCCTGATCTCCCCTAGAGCTTCACTCTACTCACATCTCTCTCTTTGAGGGAGATGTTCTCAGTTCGCAGGAAGGCCCATTCTTTCTTGGTCTCCAAACTGAGACCCTCAGCATCGTCAAGAGAGCGCCGTAGACGTGTCACTTCCTGGACAAGATCCTTGTCACTCTGCAGAATGCAATATAGTATAATATGGGAAAAACAATACAGAACATTTGTAGCCACAGGAAAGCAGAGTTAATATAAATATCTGCATATAGATCTGCTTTGAGAATCCACATCCATACGCCTCCACATTGTGTCGTTTCTAGAGTCAACATACGGTCTTGTCAATGCATAGGGGGAAAGAGAATTGTGCAAATGTTAATAAATATTGCATAAATAAAGTTTCCATGGCCAAACATTCTCTCCAGATGTCAGCATCAGACACTGAAAACCCAGTCAATAAAAGTAAATAAACCAGTAAATACACAACCAGTATATAAAAGTGCAGTGATTCAGTGACGTACAAAACTCCGTAGCTCAGTAGTCAGGTCTGTCTTCTTCTGAAGCTCCGATGACATCATCGCCAGGTCAGCCTATGGAGCACAACAGTATGTTCATATATCACCTTTGGTCTTTAAGAGCAGCACTGAGTCCATCTACATGACATACATCAAGTGAGCATGAACAGACCTTCAGCTTTTGGATCTTGTCTTCTGAATGTTGTAAATCGTGCTGCAGTTTGGAGTTTTCAGCCTCCAATTCTCTCTGTATGGAGAGGAATTAAAATATTATGAGCTGTCAGACACGGATTATCAGAAAAACATGTGGAGACATTGTCTTAGTATTGGGAAGAATAATAATCCAAGTGAGAATTTCACGTTTTAAAGCTTTGATGTGATCACCTCATACTCTCTCTTGCTCTCCTGCTCTAGTTTCTCAAACTCATCTGCATCTTTTCTCTCATCGATGTCCTTCTGCAGAGCATCTTTATCTTTCTGAAGAGAGTCTTTCTCTGCCTTCAGACTCTCCAGATCTTCAGTTATCAGTTGAAGCGTGTATTTGATCAGGTCTCGTTCGGCAATAACAGCATCCTTTATAAAATAATTTTCAAAATGGCATTCACAAACCCATTTTACTACTGTAACATGAGGCATTTCCAAATGAAAAAGTACATTTAACAGGCCAAAGAAAAATGCAGGATATTGTTGTTCACTCACTTTCTCAAATCCAAGGGTCTCACAGAACTGAATGGCCTCTTCCAGATCTTTTTTTAGCTAAACAGAACACAGTTTTTTTTTTTATCAATATTCATGGTCAGAAGAAAGAGATGTTTAAAAAACCCATCACTGTTATTCAAAGAGGATGGGCAAATACCTGTCCAACCTCAAATACAAACCAAGAGCTGCTTGTACAACAGCTGTTGTACCTGTTCACATGTGTGCTGTGAGTGCAGCAGGGCTTCTGAAGTTTTCGCCAGCTCTGCCACCTTCAGTTCCAGTGAGGAGGTTTCCTCCTGAGCCTTCTGTTTCTCCTGAACCTCCTTCTCCATTCGACTCTGCAATGCCTCCATCTGTTTCTCCAGCTGAGAGATTGTCTTCTCCTCTGATGGTGTGGCTTGAGCCTCCAGCTTGTTCTGCAACTCAGAGATCTTCAGCTGGAGTTCAGTGCTCATCTCCTCTGCTCTCTGTTTGCACTGAGTTTCTGCTTCCAGCTGACGCTCTAGAGACGCCACCTTCAACGTCAGCTCGCTCGCTCGGGGCGAGTCCAAGAAATGACTCCTGAAGGAGAGGAGACTGTCATTAATTGTCATCAGACAGACCACACACCTAAAAAAAAACTGATCTGTTAGTTGATTAATTGATGAGTGCATTTAGCAGATTGTTTTTATTTTTTTAATGATTGTGATATGTTGGGACCCCCTTGAAAACGAGATGACATCTCAAGGCGTTTATCCTGATAAATAAGTTCAATTCAAATTCAACTAACGGCAAATGATGCAATGATGAAAACGTGATCAGACCTGTGCAATACTGTAAGTTAGGGCTGCACGATAAATCGCATGCGATATTTAACGCGCATCTTGTCAGAAAGCCGGTTCTGTAATCAGATTTACCGCTGATTACAGAACCGGCTTTACTGATAAGATGCGCGTTAAATATCGCATGCGATTTATCACGCAGCCCTACTGTAAGTGATTTCACGGCTCCATTTATTTCTGCCCACATAAAATAATCAAATTATGCATGGAAAAGTTTGTCAGAAGACACAACATGATGTATTATTTATTCACTGAAGTTTATATACAAAAACGGTCCCCACCTGAATGTTCATTTTTAGCAGTAAACAAAACTAGGTAAGCATTTAAATAGCCTATTTTGAGTGTAAAAGCAATTCTGAGACAGTAGTGAGACTAATGGAGTCCTCACCCTTCAGAGGAGCTGCGGACAGTGATGCTGCTCATTTCCATGTCGGGTTCCTCCAGAGCAGTGAAATCAAACCGGCTGTCAAACTCATCCACATCTGTACATAAATTAAAACTGAGCAGTTTGGACAGTAACACTGACCAGTTTTTTTTTTCGTTTACATGCTACACACCTACTGGATTATAATTTGCAAGTGCACGTAAAGCTAAGTTTCTCCAATGATAAGACAGTCATACCCTCTCCCTCATTGGGCAGAGAGCAGTCAGCTCTTCTCTTCTTGATGTACGTCTCTGCGAAACTCATGTCACTCACACCGAGATCATCATTCAGAAGACGAGCAGACCTCAGCAGCTTCCCACCCCACGTCACTCTCCTCTTTGGAACCTTTACAGTTAAACAACAATCAGATCCATCGACTTCACTAACACTGAGGTTTACTAGTGTTAAAACTAGTGAAATCCGTTACTTTAGGGACTAGGGCCACATTTGAGGCAGTTACTAGTAGCTTGGTTAGGTTCTTAATCCTGTCCTCCTGCTCTCTCCGGAGCTGGTCTTTCTCCTGCAGAAGCTGACACAGGGATTCTCGCTCGGTCGCAGTTGTTTGCGTGACAGAGGAAACCTGTGAAATGAGTTGGAAAACAATAATGTGAGGAGATGATGGGCCATGTTATTGCTGGATGATTGTCAAATAAGTGAACCACATCCTCACCTCTTGCAGACGTCGTTTGAGATCAACAATCTCATTGCGGTATCTTCTCAAGAGAGCTCCTTCATCAGAGACCTCTGTGACGTGAGGGTCGTTCTTCATGCGCTTGGCAGCACTAGCAAACTTTAACCACAGTAAGAACCCAAAGAAATTCAATACCTCTACCCAAATCAATCCAGAATAAGAGTAAAAAAGGTCTTCTCTCATACCTGTAAAGTGCTGACTGTCTCGTCGACAGTGGCTGGGGTGATGGTGCAAATAATAACAGTTTTGGCATTGCCACCCAAAGAGTTCTGAAGGATCCGGGTCAGTTTACTGTCTCTGTAATTTAAGAAGCCCCTTTTGGATGGAACAGAAACAAGACATTACGTTTTAGCTACAGCTTGACCAAAAACAGATTCAACGTAGTGCTGGGCGGTATACCGGTTCATACCAAATACCGGTGTTTATTTTTGTTATGATATGAATTTTTAAAATACCGCAATACGTCGCTTAAGTATGTCGCTTATTGAAAAATACTGTGATATAAATTTTTGGTCATACCGCCCAGCAGCACTAATCAAACGATGGTAAAACTTCCCATGGTAAGTCATGAAATAACTCACTTCTGACTCTCATCGGATAATTTCTTAATGACTTGACCGAGAGTGAACAAACTGCGGTTTATGTTGCACCCTTCTTTAAAGCGGGCTCCTGAAATGGAGGAACAAGAGAGAGGTTTTAACAGACCAAAAAATTACCCAAATTCACTGCATTCATTAAACAGCTTTTCAAAAAAGGCTCACACTTTAACTGTAAACAATTCTATGATATATTAAATAATTCTAGATGTTTACTCAATTGCTCCCAATAACTTCCTGTGGTCAGTCAATTTTGACCGCAAACAGGCGAAGTGCGACTTTTTTAATGCCCACTTAACAATTATTGAAAGTCCATTTTTTGCTCAAATTGCATATCTAAAAATCACCAACTTTTGAACTTCTCAGATTGAGGAAACCATCTTTATTAAAAATCATAATAAATTAATTAATCAATTCATAAAAAAGGAAATCAAAATCAGTAAAATCTTATAAGGGTTAAACGCAACAGACTAAAAGAAAAGAAAAAAAGAAAAGAATAAATCGTTACCCTCAGCTCCTGTTTGACTCGCCCGTTCAGCACCAGCAAGATCCACCAAGTTCTACAGGAACAGGAAACAACAATAAACTGACTAAACATATTAAATGCTGCTTATCTAAATTACATCAGTGAATGAAATCACACCAACGGTTCCTGGTTTGTTTTGAGCTCACCAAGTGTGACACAATGATGGCTCCATCAGCGTTTTCACTGGACACCGGGTCACTTCTCTCACGACTCTCCAAGATCTGACGTGGACAAAATAAACGAGACGCTTCAGAGATGAACACTAAATCAGATTCCAAACACACTCCAGTTCATCATGCTTCTTACCATGCGGAAGATGGTGTGAGAGCGGCTGCTACGCTGGTTCATTTTTGTTTTTCCATAATGTCTGTTTTCTGTACGAAAAAAAGTGATGAAGAAATAAGTTCCTGGTTCCAGTATACCAAAAATATAAAGAATGGCGGACGATCAGTGAATGCAACTTTACTTTCTCCTTTGGTGATCCAGGACAGGGCTTGTTCCGGAGACGTCACCAGCTCTTCCGTCAGATCAGCCACGTACACGTTTTTCTGAGGACACAGTTGGCAGGTTAAGAGCTAAAACTACTTTCAAATCTCCAGTGTGAGTCCAGTGAAAGATGAACAACTTACGTAGTTCCCTTCACGAATTTCCAGAGGTTTTCTTTTCCAGCTCTCGCAGAGCAAATCTGTGACTGTTTCATTGTAGATTTCCATGTAGCTCACACGCAGGAGAAACTCCTTCTTTGGACACTAGATAGATGCAAAGAAATAAAACTATGGTTTATTCCACTGATATAGAATGAAAAAGACACTGATATGGCATTATTTTAATGACAAATGTCGAGAGTGCATTATTGTAGCGCGAAAGCACATAAATATAATGCGCGAGTGCGAATCGCTCCGCTCGCATGCGGATTTCCTTTGCTCTCGCACAAAACATTTAAAAATGTGCACGCACTTAAAACGTGTCTCTCCTCTCCCTCAAACTGTGTCCTGCGCACTCACAAATCTCTTTATGCTCATGCGCTAGATATTAATTATTTTCACACCTGAATTAAACGTTGTCAAAAGTTATTATGCACTTTTAAAAAGTAGTCTCAAAACAGATCTGGTCAGGGCCTTTCCTTGATTTTTTTTGTTGTTGTATTTAAACTATATATAAACTGGTTATTGTACATTGTTTAACTAGGCCCACTTTATCTCTTTTATGTTTGTATTTTGTTCTTTTCTGTGAATGCACATATGCATCTCTCTGTAAAGTACTTTACAAATGCATTAAACGCATAGAATATAATATAGTGCATGACAAATATGAGAAATTCATTATAGTGTTATATTTGGTCTCCAAATCTTAAGTATCGGTATTAAGTATTACGTATCTTAAGTATTGTGTATCAATCCAAGTACACAATACATATGACCACAAGAACTTCATATGCTTTTTTGTTTGTGTTTAGATAAATCATGTAGAGAGGTTTGACCAAACTGTTAAACTAGGTTATTTCCAAATCATCCAAGCACCCGAATGATTTCTAATATCACAATAAATGTTCTGATAGCATCGCTGTTTGGACATTTATTGAGAGTTTTTTTTATCCAGTGTTTGTTTTCAGTTCTGATTTTAGTTAGATTGTTTTTCATGAAAACCCACTTCATATTAGCTACACATTCAATGGCACTCTCCTCTAAAACAGTGAATATACAGTTATATGACTGTTGATGTCTTTCCGCGGTTGAAACACTGATTGAGCAATTACATGAGGCATGAGATGTTCAGTCATGTTTATTCGCATTAAAACTAGTAGTACAGAGGAAGGAATGACCGCATTCACTCGTGCTCCGCTCTGCACAAATCTGCGGGGCGCCACGGCTCAGACACTGGAACCGGAGCTGATCGCGGCCGCTCTAGTCAATGCTTGTGTTGGGATTATAGCCTACTAAGTAGTATTAAATTGTAAAGAAATTACAGATCCATCTTTCACATCTGATTGGTTGATAACTTTTGACGTTTAATTCAGGTGCGAAAAGAATATCTAGCCCATGAGCATAGAGATTTGTGAGTGCACAGGACACAGTTTGAGGGAGAGGAGAGACACGTTTTAAGTGCGCGCACTCTCTCTGGGTGAGAGCAGCGTCTATCTGAGCGCGCGCGTCCGGTTTTGTGCGAGAGCAAAGGAAATCCGCGTACGAGCAGAGAGATTTGCGCTCACGCATTATATTTATGTGCTTTTGGGCTACAATAATGCGCTCTGGACATTTGTCATTAAAATAACGCCATACACTGATTATTAAAGGAATATTTCACTTAAAAATTAAAATTAGCTGAAAATGTACATTTAGGTACACTATTCATTTAATCATTTGTGTGGGGAAAAGACTGAAATAGAAGCTGTTATGCACTGTAAAAGGGTTCCTCTGGAGGAGCACTCAGATCTCAAATGTTGTGTCATAGAAATTAAAAAAAAAAAATGTTATTTGATGCCAGGAAGACTTGCAAGCACTTACATTTTTAATAGTTTTGAAGACATCAGCCATGGCAAGAGGAATCACTCCAGGGTTATGTTCACTTCCCATCATGGTGAAGGTCTTTCCAGAAGACGTCTGTCCGTAGGCAAATATCGTGCCTGAAAATAGGAGATTATGCATTAAGAATCAACAGTGACCAAGCAAATGAAATACGTAAGTACAAATCATATCTATGTATATTGTGATCATATATACACTACATAAAATACACAATATATACATTTTTATTTTCTGTATTTTTTTTGTATGCATTTGCAACTAGGGCTGGGCGATACAGCTAAAAAATTTATTAACGATATAATGTTTCATATCGTTCGGTATTGATAATTATTTACATTTTTTAATAACCTTTTTTTAAACAGAGCAATAGAATTTTTTTTTTTTTAACCACTGTATTTTTAAATTAACCCAATTTATTGAGACAAACAACAAAAAATGTTTGTTTTAACAATCACACACAAAATAAAAATTAAACAAATATCTCAGCAGTCTTGTCCATCTAAAAAATGCGCTGAATATGCGCTGTGTGTGAATGGCTTGGTTTCGGTTTTAACCTAATCAAGATCTTCTCCGCATTGAGCTTCTATATTTCTCGAATATTTTGAATGAATAACGCAGCAGCGGCGCGTCTCGTGGGCTAGACTAACAAAACATTAAAATGAAACGTCACTTACATCATTATTATCACATCTCGCGCTCAACTAATGACGCTCCCTGATGCACACCTAACATTAAAATGCAAATGTTTATTTTAAATTCGACTAATATTCATTCTTTATTCACAATCTCCTCATCACAGGCAGGCACAGCACTAATTTCTGCATGTGTTCGTGTGTGCTGTCTGCGTCACTCATAGCACCTGCCTATACCGAACATTTTTTCTATCGTTATCGAAGAAGGTGTACCGTCGATAAATATCGATAGTTTTATCGCCCAGGCCTAATTGCAACATGTACGGTTTTGTTGACTTGTTTGCCCGATATTGCACTAAGCATGCTTTTCGAAGGATACATAAAGTACCTTTCAGAATAAATTGTAATTACTCTGATTTCTGGACTCACCGTTATAGCCTTCAACTGCTGACACGACCAGTGGCTTTGCAATGTCCTGGTAGAGCTGAGCAGTGGTCTCTTCAGCACTGAACACACGGTCTGAAACACATGAAGATCAGAACATAAAGCACGGCTCTACTGGCCAGTGAAGATCCGCTGATGTTCAACTCACCGAAGCTGTAGCTCTTAGTTTGAGCTCCATCATCATCCAGCTGATGGATGGCCTGTTTGTCGGCTCTCCAGTAGAGCTGCACTGGCTCTGGGCTTTCAGACTCCTCCCTTAAATCATCAGTATCATCATTAGATTATTGTTGAGTTTGAGAATCAACGTTAAACAGAGCATTAACCATCATAATGCATTCAGGTCCGTTTTGACCAGGAAGAGATGCATAAAAAAATTCTAAAAACCGCATAGTTTTCAAACTGAAAGTTTATGAAAGTAAAAATAATTTATTTAGTTTCAGAACTTTTAAGAGTAATATTTTTTGTTTTGTTAGAAATAAATAGGATTCATAAATTTAGATGTATATACATGCACAGACATATATATAACGTTACATTAAAATTTACACACTACTGCACTAATGAGAAGTTGCTGATCAGACACAATGGGTTTAGTTAAAAAATATGAATTATTCATTTATGACGGTTTTATAAAATAACGATTGGGTCCAAACGGACCCGAAAATCGTAACGTTATACATATTTTGAATGCATTATGAGGGTTAATGTAATAAATGAGCTGTATGGTGACTTTCTTTATTCACAATCTCCTCATCACAGGCAGGCACAGCACTAATTTCTGCATGTGTTCGTGTGTGCTGTCTGCGTCACTCATAGCACCTGCCTATACCGAACATTTTTTCTATCGTTATCGAAGAAGGTGTACCGTCGATAAATATCGATAGTTTTATCGCCCAGGCCTAATTGCAACATGTACGGTTTTGTTGACTTGTTTGCCCGATATTGCACTAAGCATGCTTTTCGAAGGATACATAAAGTACCTTTCAGAATAAATTGTAATTACTCTGATTTCTGGACTCACCGTTATAGCCTTCAACTGCTGACACGACCAGTGGCTTTGCAATGTCCTGGTAGAGCTGAGCAGTGGTCTCTTCAGCACTGAACACACGGTCTGAAACACATGAAGATCAGAACATAAAGCACGGCTCTACTGGCCAGTGAAGATCCGCTGATGTTCAACTCACCGAAGCTGTAGCTCTTAGTTTGAGCTCCATCATCATCCAGCTGATGGATGGCCTGTTTGTCGGCTCTCCAGTAGAGCTGCACTGGCTCTGGGCTTTCAGACTCCTCCCTTAAATCATCAGTATCATCATTAGATTATTGTTGAGTTTGAGAATCAACGTTAAACAGAGCATTAACCATCATAATGCATTCAGGTCCGTTTTGACCAGGAAGAGATGCATAAAAAAATTCTAAAAACCGCATAGTTTTCAAACTGAAAGTTTATGAAAGTAAAAATAATTTATTTAGTTTCAGAACTTTTAAGAGTAATATTTTTTGTTTTGTTAGAAATAAATAGGATTCATAAATTTAGATGTATATACATGCACAGACATATATATAACGTTACATTAAAATTTACACACTACTGCACTAATGAGAAGTTGCTGATCAGACACAATGGGTTTAGTTAAAAAATATGAATTATTCATTTATGACGGTTTTATAAAATAACGATTGGGTCCAAACGGACCCGAAAATCGTAACGTTATACATATTTTGAATGCATTATGAGGGTTAATGTAATAAATGAGCTGTATGGTGACTGACAGACTTGTCAGTAATTCTAAAACCTGGTAAACCAGCAAAATATGAAGATATTATTATTGACTAGCATAATATTCTAACATTTTACGGTTTCTATTCTGTTTTTTAAAATAGGTTTACTTCAGAAACATAACAAACAACCTTTTGTATCGATTTAAGAGGATGTCATTAGATAACTCGTCATTCCTTCACTAATAAACTTTTTAAAAATCTCTTAAGACTTTTTTTTTAGCTTAAAATTACCTTTACACACTTAAGTACATTGTTTTTAGAATAGGTTTACTTCCGAAATACAATAAAAACAACATTTTCTATAAGTTATGCATCTGTTCGCTCCGCCACTAAGATTCTATCAGCAAATAACGTAGGGCTGTTTTATGTTACATTTAGCTCCACGCTCTAAATATTAAGTTTTTCTTACCTTTTAATAAGAGGTCTGACTCTAACGCACACTTTTACTGCGGATTCCTCCGTCATTTTCACTCCATCAACGCTAAACTGACTGAAACTAACTGACTTACTGAGCGCTCAGTGAGATTTCAAATTTCAACCGAATTTCCCATTGGACAGCGATCTGTGCGCATGCGCGCATCAACGGTCACCCATTTCCGTCGAGTTCTTCTTCTTCTTTCAGGTTTAATGGCGGTTGGCAACTCATCTCAAAGGTGCATTACCGCCACCTACTAGACTGGAGTGTGGGCATTAGACTGATATCAAAGGAGAGGTGGAGGGGAAAAAAAAAAAAACTATATCCCTATTAAATTCTTTCACTTAACCCACTGTTTTTCAAAAATAACATTAATAAATTGTGTATTCTCCCAGATGCTTTCCCTAATAAATGCTCAAGTGTCATGCTTTGTTCATCCATTTGTGCCTTTAATTCTGCCCTATCTTCTTCATATTTTTTGCAGTCTAACAGTATATGCTTCACTGTCTCTTGTACATTACAATAAGTGCATAATCCAGTGGGATGTTTTCCTATTCTGTGCAATGTTGTATTTAAACCAGTGTGACCCATTCTAAGACGTGAGACTAACATCTCCTCCCTTGGGCTTCTGCCCTTCCTCTAATACGTAGCGGCATCTCTCCTGCTTCCACCTGTAATGCAGTTACACTGTCAGAAAAAAGGGTACGGTTGGGGTGTTTGTGAACACTTAGGGTACAAATGGTTAAGTTGTACCCTTAATGGGTCATAGTTACACCTTAGGATACTCATATGTACCATTTAGGGGTAAAAAAAAGGTACAAATATGTTTTCAACTGTCAGAGGGTCCATGTTTGGACCATTTAATCCCCAAACAAAGGTACAATCACTTGTGTGACAAAAGGAGTAAGCCAAAGTGTATGAAACGGTCACCCAAAATAGATTAAACAGAGTAAGATATTCATTTTCATGAATTGTTGGTTATTTGGAAGAGATGCACAACATAACCAAATATATTTAAGAGCCCACATCTTTACTGACTAGTTCTGAACAGTACACAAACACATGACATTTAATTGATTATTCAGAGCATCAAGATAATAACTTTTAAATATAAAGCAAATGTATTAAAGTAGGCCTGCATTTTAATTGTAATTTTAAACCGATATAAGAGCTGTTTTAAGATTTGCTTTTAATTTAGAGTTAAACAAATACAGGTACTTATCTTTCTTAGCAAAAGCACAATGTAGACGAAACTATTTAACGTTTATTTAACATTATATGGGGTACTTTTACTTTGCCTCAAAGTTCAAGTACGCATTTTCGCAGCCAGCCTTCTTTAAATTCGTGTCGTCCAATGGGATTATAGCCCGCGCGATGCATTTTATGCGCGCAAAGTTGATATTGAGCACGAGCACGACGGTTATTCCATATCAACGGCTGTCTCACTTCTGACGCTGTCGACGGAGGATCTTCTTCAAAAATTGAAAGAAGCTGGAATACATGTCACTGAAGACGAAGCACAGAAATTCAGAGGTAAGTTTAGTTTTAAGTACTGTGAAAATCCGTTGGTTCCCTTTGCAGTCATGTTCACTTGACATTGCGTCTGTAGCTAGGCCTACCTGATGCGTGAGGTAAACTCGAAAACACTGACCTGACAAAACCAACAAAACCAACTTAAATTTTAAGCTTATTGTTATTATAACAATTGTTTTTATTATTTAGCCAGAAATTAAAGAAATTAAAATCGCATAACTTATCTCCTTGATGTCTGCCACCATGCCCACTTGTGTCCATACTCTCCTCCTCCTTGTTCTTTGTCTAAGCCACCCATTCAGAACTCTGTTGAGGTCTCCTTTAGAGGATACAGGTTTCAATATGGGGTCTTTGAGATAGCATGTACATTGTTTTTTGATTGTGTCAATGCATCCAATGTCAACAAACACCCATTACATAGTAACAGGCGTTGGCGTTATTATACTTCCTGCAGCGTGTACATGCTAATTTATAATTAACTCTGATTCACGTTACCTGTCTTTCAATCAGGTCAAGGAACAAAAAACAATGACTGACAATAAGGATGAGCGTTTGTAGATGCACATGAAATGTGACGCGTACAAAAACCATCACGCACGTACACATACAGGCACACAGTTTCATAAGGGTCAAATCCTTTCCTCCGAGCACAGCAATTGTTTACAATTGTTAATCTCTTTGACATCTGTGAGAAAGATTGCATAAAATGCTCAGAGCAAGAGGTGTTTCTTGTTTTGCCATGCGGTTCAAGAGAAATAACTGCAGTGCAAAGGCTAATGTCAGATTTAGATGCAATTTCTTAGAATCACTTACAATACTATAAGCTATGTTAGACGCAACAACCAACCGGATCAAATAAATGTGGAAACAAACCAGAATCAAATCGGTTTCAGGAGTTACACTGATCTGATACATATTTTTTTTTGTATATACTTCTCTAATCTAAGTTTAACTGTCTGTACCCATTTGTATAAATGTCTATCCATCCATCTTAAATCCACTTCCTTAAATTCAAATTACATTTCTACATCCTGTTTGCTGCCAAAATTCAAATTCAAATTAAATTCAATAATTAATTGGAATTTAAAAGGAATTCTAAGCTCAGTTTGGAATGTTTGGAACCCCCAAACACAGAGTGTCTTCATACTCACCGATTCCAACCGAAGCATCGAAATTGTAACTAATAATCTAGAGAATTAATGAATCAACATTAAGTTGCAGAGCCTTCATTGCCTCTCATACTAAACGAGTAGGCCAAGGACCAAAGAACCAAGGTGACAATGTTTTAAGCCATATTTCCCAAGCAAGAATAAACTGAGGCAATCGTTACACTCTAGTTTTTTTTTTTTTTATGAAACTAGAAAATGCTCAGCGCCACGCATCAGCAGAGTCAAACCGTAAAACACGTTCTTCCCAATTCCCTTCTGTGACTTTCAAAGACCTCTTTCATTTCAGAGCGACTGTGTCCTGGACGTGACACCAAGCCAAAATATTTACTTTCTCCGCTTTGCGTAGTAAAACCTTCACAAAACTGACATCAATAGATTTCTTCTTCAACTCAGGAAGCTTTGCACTCAGGCCTACCGCAGGAGGAGCAATTGTTGCGAGCAATTGTTTTTGAGGTGTGTGCGGCCCCACACCCAAACAACACAAGATCTGATGGCCATACATTCATGGTGAAACATGCACGCTGCGTGGAGAAAAACGGCTGTCACAATAAACATGCCATGAAAAAGGCAGGAAAGAATAGACGAGGCAGTGCTCTCCCGTCGAGGTCTCTATTGTTCAACACATCAAAGTTTAATGTGAAAGGAAGTGCTGCGTGACACTCCTAAAGGGGTTATATATGGAGTTTATAGGAAAGAGGAGGTTCAAAAGACTGCCAGTCTGATTGTCTCGTTCAATCTATTTTCTACATGTCACATATTTCTGCTGCTGTGACCATCAAAAGTGTGACACTTCATAGCTAAAGGCTAAGATAAAGTAGGGGAGACTTTGACCTTCACAGCTTCTAATTAGCTTTGGTGCAGCACACTGAGGTTAATTGTCATCACACTTGAGAAACACATTAGACTAAAATAGAAACTATTTAAGAAGCATTAAGGATTTTATATTACTCACCTGGATCAGTACCATCTTAGAGTTGGAGTCTTGTGGCCTTGGCATCTTGGTATTTACAGTACATGCATCACCTGTTACTACTTGTCATTCTGATTTTGTGACTACACTGTCAGAAAAAAGGGTACGGTTGGGGTGTTTGTGAACACTTAGGGTACAAATGGTGAAGTTGTACCCTTAATGGGTCATAGTTACACCTTAGGATACTCATATGTACCATTTAGGGGTAAAAAAAAGGTACAAATATGTTTTCAACTGTCAGAGGGTCCATGTTTGGACCATTTAATCCCCAAACAAAGGTACAATCACTTGTGTGACAAAAGGAGTAAGCCAAAGTGTATGAAACGGTCACCCAAAATAGATTAAAACATAGAGTAAGATATTCATTTTCATGAGTTGTTGGTTATTTGGAAGAGATGCACAACATAACCAAATATATTTAAGAGCCCACATCTTTACTGACTAGTTCTGAACAGTATACAAACGCATGACATTTAAATGATTATTCAGAGCATCAAGATAATAACTTTTAAATATAAAGCAAATGTATTAAAGTAGGCCTGCATTTTAATTGTAATTTTAAACCGATATAAGAGCTGTTTTAAGATTTGCTTTTAATTTAGAGTTAAACAAATACAGGTACTTATCTTTCTTAGCAAAAGCACAATGTAGACGAAACTATTTAACGATTATTTAACATTATATGGGGTACTTTTACTTTGCCTCAAAGTTCCAGTACGCATTTTCGCAGCCAGCCTTCTTTAAATTCGTGTCGTCCAATGGGATTATAGCCCGCGTGGTGCATTTTATGCGCGCAAAATTGAGATTTGAGAGCACGACGGTTATTCGATGTCTCACGTCTGACGCTGTCGACGGAGGATCTTCTTCAAAAATTGAAAGAAGCTGGAACACGTCACTGAAGACGAAGCACAGAAATTCAGAGGTAAGTTTAGTTTTAAGTACTGTGAAAATCCGTTGGTTCCCTTTCCAGTCATGTTCACTTGACATTGCGTCTGTAGTTAGGCCTACCTGACGCGTGAGGTAAACTCGAAAACACTGACCTGACAAAAACCAACGCATTGTTATTACATTTTAAGCTTTTTGTTATTTTTAAAATTGTTTTTATTATTTAGCCAGAAATTAAAATATAACTTTTCGCATAACTTATACTCTACCGCGAGACAGTGCTCGAGACGCTGGCAAAACAGCGGTGGAACGGCCATAGAAACAGTTCAAACCCATCGCGTTTTGAATCGGCTTTTATTTTCACTAAAGCTGGGTCTCGATATGGAACTACAGATTTATAAATTCAGTCTCCCAGAATTTTCTTACTGTCAAGTTACCCGTGTTCACTCCGGACGCGAGCGAACGCCTCTCTTGTTTTATTTTAACGCCTATCCTAGTCAGTCTGAAATTATATAATTTACGAATATCATCCGTGTTGATTTATATCAGTTTTATTTGGTACATTTTAAA